TCTTTATTTATATTTTTCTGTTTATTATTATGCACCAATAAATTGAGGCAAATTCCTGTTTGTGAAAACCTGATTCTGATTCTAGACAGGTGAGGGTACCTGTTTCCTCCACTCGCGAAGACACTGAGCGTCATTACGATGAGGAATCTCTGCTGCGATCTTCGCCCAGCGACCTGACAAACACACAGTCAGTATTTATTAATATAAAGTGATCAGCAAGTAAATATTGATCAGTTTCTCACTGACATTAATCAATAATAGCTGATCTGAGATCATGTGACCTACCGACTCCGTGTTTCTCCACCAGCTGCAGCAGCAGCTCTCGCTCATGTTTGTCGAACCCTCCTCTCTTTGTACCCGCCTTCAGACTGTCATAGTACCTGCACACACACACACACACACAGCACACACACAGACAAACAGAAAGAATGATCACATTCATTGTTCTAGAACACTTTATTGATCCCTGAGGGAAGCCACCCAGCTGCAACATTAAATATAACTGGATCAATAACTATAATCTAATGATCACCTGACACACTGTGTACAGGAGCTAACATCAGCTAGCTCACAGCTAACACCTGACACAAGGTGAACACTCACTTCCTGTCTGTGGTCCAATCAGCTCCCCCCTACCTGTCTCTGCAGCCGCTGTCAGTGCGTCCAGGAACCTCAGACCGGATCTTCCACCAGTCCTTCTCCCCGTGACGAGAGACCGCCTGCAGCAGCAGCTGAGAGACAGACAGGCAGACGTCATGCTAACGAATGTAACTGTTAGATCATGATGTCATTATTGTGCAGGTGGAGGGTGTGTCCTGTCTAAGCCCCGCCCCCCACCCTACCTGGTCCTCCTGTTGGGTCCACGGACCTTTCTTCAGGCTCGGGTCCAAGACCTGGTTCCACCTGTAGATCAGCTGAGCGGGGTCACGACCTTCCATGAAGTAACTCACTGAGAGAAACAGACAGGTAGACAGACAGACAGGATGTTAACTGTTGTGTTTGCATCAACATTAGTCGCAAGTGTGATGTCTACAGTGGATGTCACAGTGATGTCATTACTCTGCGTGTAGGGGATGAAGTTTCCGATCCTCATCTTGTCCACGAGTTCTCTGAGCAGAACGTCTTCGTCCGGAGTCCAACTGGTGTTTCTCAACGAGTCCGACACGAAGCGCTGGAACGTCTGCAGACACAGGAAGGCTGTCCTCCCCGTCTGACAGACAGGTTACAGACAGACAG